GAATTCAGCATTGTTTGTACTGCTGTGCTTGATCTACCTATATTATCCCATTTGTTTGTACCTCTGTTACAGCCCTGTAAACATTTCCTTTTAAAATATTGTATGACTTTCCATTTCTCTTGCTATCTTTAAATGTTTGGTCAGGCTGCATTTTTACAGCACATCCTCTTGCACTTCACAGAATCCCAGGAGTGTTACGGTGCAGAAGGAGGCCAAGTGGCCCAACATCACTGCACCTGTTCTTCAAATTAGCATCATTACATTGTACCAGTCTCCTGCTTTGCCTCCCAAAGCCTTGCAAATCATTTCTGTCCAAATAATAGTCTAATGTCCTCTTGAATGTTTTAATTGAACCTACCTCCACCACACTTCAAGGCAGTGCATTCCATATCCTAACTACTTACTGTGTAGAGAAGTTTTATTCTCCTATAACATTTGCTTCTTTTACAAGTTTTAAATCTATACCCTCTCATTTACACCTTCTACGAGTTTCTCCTTATCCACTCTATCCAACCCACTCACGATTTTGAAAACCTCTGTCAGATCTGTTAGCTGCTTTCTCTCCAAGGAGAGTAATCCAACATCTTCAATCTTATCCTCAACTCTCTTTTTCCTATCACTCAGCTAGTTTTGCATCCACATTGCTCCTGTCCCTTTTTTATTTCCAGGGCCTAGACTTTCTCCATATCCATTGATTCCTTCAGTATCAAAAAAATCTGTTAACTTTATTTTTCCTCCTTTTGAATATACTAATTCAGAGGTACGGAGTTTTGAAAATTCACAATCCACTGAGTGAAATTTATCATCATCTCAGTCCTAATCAGCCAACCTATCATTCTAAGACCATTGAACCCTAATTCAGAGGGGGAGGGGCAATTTCCAGCATCTGAACTGAACCGTTTTGACTCCTGTGTGCATGAACTGTAGTGGTGCATGAGATGCATTGCAGTCTCCACAGTTGTGTAGTTTTAACCAGAAAGTAGCTGAAAATAAAAACACATTTCATTAAAGAACAAAGAATACCAGGAAGAGAGATTTGATTCAGGTACTAGTAAGATGATATTGGCAGAACTGATTTACAGAGTTGCACCAATAATTATCTCTTGCCGCCCAGGTGTGGTAGTCATTGATCTATCAAGATAGATGGTTTTCATTCCTCTACAGGCTCATGATGCTCTGGCTGTTTTCTTGTTTGAATTTTCCTCATGCAAATTACTGCTGCTTCCTGCAGCACAGCGCTATGTAGTAATTATTTGGGTGCTGTGGAATGTTTTTAGGATGTTTGGACCGCATAAATTTAAGTTGTATGCGGTATTATGTAAATAAAATATCTTAAATGTAGGAGATAGCAAGAACTGCAAATGCTGGAGTCAGAGACAACACAGTGTGGAGCTGGAGGAACACAGCAGGCCAGGCAGCATCAGAGGAACAGGACAGTTGACGTTTCAGGTCAGGACCTTTCCCGACCCAAAACATCAACTGTCCTGTTCCTCTGCTGGCTGGTTGGCTGTGTTCCTCCAGCTCCACACTGTTGTCTCTATCTTCAACATGGCATAGATCACATAGCCATCTCCTAGCATAAGGTCATTGAATTTTAATCAGGAATTTGAAACACAATTTCTTTTTCTTTTTCTTTTTAGTTTATGGTCATTTAAACCCTTTTTGAATAACAGATAGGGAGCAATGACTCAAAGTGGTCTAGGAATTTTATTTGAATATTGGATACTAATCCGTGTAATTGTGGCAGTGGGAGAGATAGGAGCTTCCAGACCTATGCCTCTGTAGCTTGCAGAAACCCTTCAGAGTGCGCAGATCTTTCCATTCGATATAGACATTAACATGCAGAATTAGCTATAATTTGATTATTCAGGCTTGCAAAAACACATTAGGTAATAGCAAGTATAACTTGTTCGTTAGCCACAGGCAAACTTGTTTCTGTGATTACAGCAGCTACCAGCTCAACATTTCTTCCAGAATCTGCCCTTGCAATTTTCCCAATAAGCAATGCATTGCAGATGTTGTTTTTCTCACTATGAAGTACGCACACTTATCTTTATCACATGCACATATAGAAATATTTAATAAGGAAGATCAGCTACATTCCCAGGAGATATTCTCAGTAATAATCTGTTTCACCCTTTCTGGGAGATTTGTTCTCTTTCATTGACACTTCATTGACATCAGCCTTAAAGCAAAAAGCATTATATAGAGACTTACAGCTTTGTGACAATGGACACTAAATACTGATTGTTTGAGCTGGAAAACTCAGTATAAGCTGTGTTACCAGTATTTATTTGATTCTTGAGATTTCCTGCATCACATGCCTTTCCCTTGGAATTCAAAAGTGGAATTTAGTTTACATTATACCCAAATTAAATCATGTGCTGATGCTTCAGATGCCATCAAACCGGCTCCACGCGCGGAACAAGAGTTGGAATAAAAGAAGTATGAGGAGAGAAAACAGAATTAAGCAAGTGTAATGAAAAATAAATCATTGCCTCCAGTGTGTGTTTGGACATCAAGTGAGGGTGATATTACATTGCACACATCAGGTGTGTTATTACTGAGTTGCAAGCACAATGGAACTGAATTGTAGCATAACTGTTACTATTTTTGGAAGGGAAGAAAATTGAGTGGAAGTTTTTGAAACTTCGCATTTAAGTACAGTGTTGCATTCTTATCCACTTAGGCTCAACAAATGCCTGTGAGAAGACCTCCTTTATGTTTCTGAGGCAAGAGCTGCCTGTGAGACTCTCTAATATTATGAAGGAAATCAATCTCCTCCCAGACCGGCTACTTGGCACACCTTCTGTTCAGTTAGTCCAAAGCTGGTGAGTAGCCACACAGAAGATGGTCATACAAGTGAGAGAATCTCCTCTTTGAATAATGTGTCTCTTATGTGTGGCTTCTTCAAAGCAGTAAATTTTCAATGCAGGAAAATAATATTGTGCAATACTGACATGTTTTCCATCCACTTCAGCAATACTCACGTTATGCTTGTGACAGTATTAGAAAGGTGTTACTAAAACTGGCCATCTAATAATATGTATGTTCAGTAATGATATGAGTTGACTTGTATAGTTGACCTATATAAGCTGATGTATCCTGTTTCAATTATTTGACAGTTATCCAACTGGAACTGTGTAAGCTATACTGTGAACTTTCCCCCACTTCAGTTATGAGACTTGTTTATTTGTACCTTCTTATACTTAGCTCATATCTATCTTGATTGTAAAAACCAGTGTAATACATTTTATGGGTAGTGAAATGTGAGATATCCTATTAATCCCACTCATTATCATTAAGTTACTAGCAAATTTAATTGCAATTGTTTCATTGTAGTTTGTTATACATAATTTCACAATTACGGTCTCTGTTTTAGTACAAAAATGCTTCAAAGGAGCATTGCACTTTTACATGTTAGAGTCATTATTGTGCCCTACAGTCTGCTTAAGTGAATTCTGTATCTATAGAACTCAAAGCAGTTTTAATTTCCAGTCACTATTAAATCAATTCAATTTTTCTAAACTTTGTGAGGAAGTAGTAAGTAGTTCTGTATTTCCTGCATTGACACCTGAACTTTCTAGATTGCAGTATCACTCATAAAGTTGTACTTTATAGGAGACTGGGAGGGTAAATTCCTAGTTTTCATCTAAAAGTTGAGTTTAAGGTAAAAGTATGTCTTAAGAGGCCCCATTGGGTTTGCTTTGCAGATCTGGCTTTGTACTTTGTGTGCAGACCAGCTAACAAGTTATAGGAACATGAACATTTTTGCTGTGTATTTTGTATTTGTATTAATCATTCCATGACATTCTCTAAATTCTATATGAATAATTAATTTTGATTTTGAATGTGACCATATACTACTGCACTAGTGTCATTTTCATGCCCAAGTATGGCGGTCTTGTGAGTTGGCTGCCAGATTGTCAAGATACAATAAGTGAGTTTATATGAGAGAGATCACAAATGCTAGTAAACTAATTGACCTGCCCAGTTCTATTTTCTTTAAGATCGTTACAATTATTGTGAAGGATAAATTTATCCAGTTAGACTGGGGTGAAAGATAGAATCCCTACAGTGTGGAAACAGGCCCTTTGACCCAACAAGTCCACACCGACCATTGGAGCATCCCACCCAGACCCATCCTCTTATAACCCACCTAAGCTACACGTCCCTGAATACTACAGGCAATTTAGCCTGGCCAATCCACCTAACCTGCACATCTTTAGACTGTGGGAGGAAACCCACGCAGATGTGGGGAGAATGTGCAAACTCCACACAGACAATCGCCCAAGGGTGGAATTGAGTCTGGGTCCCTGGCGCTGTGAGGCAGCAGTGCTAGCCACTGAGCCAATCAAGATTTTACAAGTTAAATGGTTTTGAGGAACAGTGTTCATTTAAAAAAAAACAGTGTTAGAAACTAATGTTAAATGGTGAAAAATCTTGGAGCTTTTTCGGAGTACAAGTACTTGCATTGCATAAGGCACCAGTCAGTCAAGTATAATTGACAATGGAGGCCATTGAATCTGACCCATACAGAGCCTTGCGGTATAGTGTATATTCCAACCACATAAACTGACAAAAAATCTAATGTGTAATTGCATTAACAGGTCTGGATGTTTCCAGTTCCAGTCACCAGTTTGTGCTGAGCTAATGGATTTTAGCTGGAAATTGTTGAAGTGCCATTATTGCTCACTGTGACTAATCTAGCAAGAATAAAGATTAGATATTGTTTGTGCTTGATCACTATACATGGCGCAAATGTAAGGACATTGTTCCTGAATTATAACTGGGTTTGTTGTGAAGTCAACAGTACAACAGTAGTCTGACTAGACTTGCATATGTTGCTAGTATTTGGAGGGCTGCTGCTCCCTAATAAGAGGAAAGGAGAATATCTTAAATCAAAATTGAAAACTTGAAGTCAGAAATGAATTATGTCACTCCTTTTACACTTAAAGAATTTGTTTTGGATGATTTTAACCACTTGAGATCATGGTGTTTTACCTGTAGCTTGAACTCAAAGTAAACTAATTTATTCTGGTAAAGGCAGTTTCTCTGACTACAGTTTCATCAAATGATGATCATGTTGAGGCAGATGAGAACAACTGTACTAAAGTTGAAGATCATCAGTTGTTAATTTTAAGAAAATTTGGCAATTTGTTGTTAAACTAATGTACTTGTACAACAGTGTAGTTGTAATCAGTGATACTGCATCAACTAAACAGCCAAAACCTCTGTTGTATCTTGATCTTATGGTCTAGAAAATTTTTTAAACACTGAGCCCTGTGAGCTCCATGAAGCTGCTCTAAATGCTTCTTTCCAGAAGAGTACCCTCACAAGCATATTTTTGTCGATTTCCTTATGACCACTGTCGTCTTCAATTTAATTCTTAAATTGCTTAACTGATTTTATTGGTCCTTGTGTTTTGTACTTTCATACATGCCAATTTTCTTTTTATCTAGGTATGTTCAAAGTCTCTTGGATATGCTTGAGTTTTATGACCAGAACCCTGATGACCTGAGAGTTTTATCAAGGTATGTATTTTAAATTTGAAATAATTTGAGACTTACTGTAGTTCTTTTACTTGCTTATTTATTTTTGATAGAATATTCAACTATTTTTCTTGTTGAGCTCTTTACCTGCAATCCCTTTCTTACCAAAGGCAGTCAGTACAAGTAAATTGGGAAGGATTCATCATAACCTGCTTGACTGCATTATAAACACATCGTCTTTCAAAGCCATCATTTTCCAGAATGATTCTTGAACCTGGACCTTTTGACACAAGCAAGGTTGCTACATAATGTACCACAGGACAACCTCATCCAGCCCTTGCCAAAAAAATCAGCTTATTGGTGTCGTGTGTGGTAGTCCTTTCGAAAGTGTGTTGTTCCCCGATTGTGAAATAAAAGCCCTGTTAACAACTACTGGTTGTCATTACAATGTTTGGCTTTGAGGTAGCATTTTCAAATATGTTAAATTGGCATGAGATATTAACAGTAAGACCAATTTACGGTAATCATAGATTCTCTGCAGTGCAGAAATTCTGCTATTCGGCCCATTGGGTCCACACCTACCCTCTGAAGAGCATTCCATGCAGCCCTTGCTCCTGACCCTATCTCTGGAACCCCACATCTGCTATGCCTAATCCACACAAACCTGCACATCGCTGGACATTTATGGAGCAACTTAGCATGGCCAGTTCACTTACACATCTTTTGGACTGTGACAAAAAACGAGAACACCCGGAGGATCCCACGCAAACATTGGGAGAATGTGCAAACTCCACACCAGACAGTTGCATAAGGCTGAAATCGAACCGGGGTACCTGGTGCTGTGAGGTAGCAGTGCCAACCACTGAGCCACCTTCTATTTTAAACCTGTTAAAGGTCTCAAATTCATTTTTGTTGACAATGACCTGCTTGTGACTTCACAGGAGCCCAAGGCATTGAAATGTGAATTGTCAACTGCACCGTTGATGAGAAAAAGCAAGCATTTTTATGCTTTCAGTTTACTACAGCATATTTGTGCATTCCAATGCTTATAAACTTCACTATTGATATCATTTGGAGTGCTGACTAAGTGCAGTTTGAGGAAGAAAATATCAGTATATTCTTTGGGCAACTTTTTTTTTAGATATTTTAATATTGGTCTTTCACATTAGTTTTTGGAAGCTTGACATCAGGGGCAGCTATTTGTATTGTCTGTTAAATTTTCTTTCTGTAGAAATGTTGGATATAAAGTCAATCTAATCTTCTAATAATGTATGAAGCTTTGATATGTAATATATCTCAAAGGCTTTTTTTTTTTTTTGCATGATCTTAGTTTTACAGATGCTTTAATCACAATCCGGAATAGGCATAATGATGTTGTTCCAACAATGGCACAAGGTGTTATTGAGTACAAGGAATCTTACTTGGAAGATAGCATTACTCGTCAAAATGTACAGTACTTTCTGGATCGATTTTACATGAGCCGTATTTCCATCAGAATGCTCATCAATCAGCATAGTAAGTGAAAAGTTTGTGAGAAAACCCCTGTTGTCTTTAATGAGTGAGTTTTTATTTCAGAAACAAGCTTGTGTACTTTGTAAAGAATTGAATAATGTAACGCACTTTTACGAACAGGAATAGGCCATTCAGCTCCTGAAACCTGCTCTGCCACTCATTAAGACTTTGGCGTATGTTCATTCTCATCTATACCTGATGACCTTCCACCTTACTTCACAAAAATCTGTCTACGTTTGCCTTGACATAATTCAAACACTCTGTTTCTGTTACCTTTTCAGGAATAGAGTTCCAAAGGCTTTTGATCCGCTAAAACAAAGTTTCATCCCTTCCCTGTTTTAAATGGTTGACCCCTGAATTTTTAACAGCGACCCCTATATGTAGACCCTCTCTCAGGAGGAAACCTTTTCTCTATTTTTATTCTGTTAAGATCTCTCAGGATCTTGTTTGTTTCAATCAAGTTGTGTCTCACTCTTCAAAACTCCAGCATATACAAGCCTAACCTTTCCAATCTTTAATCTTTCCAAGTATTAGCTTGGGTAAACCTTCTCTGAACTGCCTCCGATGTATTTAACAGCTTTCCTTAAAGGTAACCGGTGCTGTGCACAATGAACGATGGTGTATGTTGAATATTTATGATTTTACTGCTATGAATGACAGGGTTACTGTGATCAAGTTCTTAATCATTTTTGTCACATAATCAAAATCTATTGTGCTAATATTTAATATTTTCTTCTTTTCCAAGCACTAATTTTTGATGGCACAACAAACCCAGCTCATCCCAAGCACATAGGCAGTATTGATCCAGACTGTGAAGTTGTAAATGTCATCAGGGGTAAGTATTTTTTTTCCACTGTGAAGTACTTTCATGTATTGATGTGGTAATTTATAATTCCTAAATCAGTTAAAATCCACAATCCGAATCTGTTTTTTGACTCTGTTTGCATTTTCATATTCATACTCTTTAGTGGAAGAGAAACGTAGAAAATAGCAGCAGGCATAGGCCATTCAGCCCTTTCAGCCTACTCTGCCATTCAATGTGACCTGATCATCCAACTCAATACTCCTATTCCCGTTTTCTCCCCATACACATTGATCCCTTTAGCCCTAAAACCCATATCTAAATCCTTAAATCTTCATTGTTTTGGTTTCAGCTGCTTTCTGTGGCAGAGAATTCTATAGGCTTGCCACTCTGTAGGTGAAGACATTTCTCCTAATCTCAGTCGTAAATGACACATGCCATGCCTTAACTGTAACCACTGGTTCTGGATTCCCTAGTCACCAGTAATGTCCTTCCTGTATTTATCCTGTCTAGTCCTGTTAGAATTTTATAGGTTTGAGATTTCTCTACCACCACCAGTCCCCATTTTCTAAACCTCAGTGAATATTGTCATAACTGATTCAGTATCTTTTCCTAGCAGTCCTGCCATCCCAGGAATTAGTCCAGTAAACCTTCAATGCCTCTTTCCATACCCAGAACATCCTTCCTCGGATCAGGAAACTAAAACTGCAAACAGTAGTCCAGTGAGGTCTCACCAAGGCCCTGTATGATTGCAGCAAGACATCCCTGCTCCTGTACGCTGGTTCTTTCATTAATATGCAGATAATTTAGAATCTGTGACTAAGTCAGCATTAAAGGTTTGTGCTAATAATGTTTTCATGTGTATTTGTGTTTACATGCCCATAACACCATAATTTTTGCTGATAATGTTAGCCTATGATCTTCTTAAAACTAACAAAATAACCATTTGTATTGTATAATGATTGGCTGCTGCTATAATCGGACAATGATGCTCTGCTTTGTGTACAACATATCTGTCAATTCACAAGCAGTTCTTTGTAAGTATCTAGGAAACGTCAACTTCTAATGCCATGAATATCACTGAAAGAAAATAAGAATTTGAAACCTTTTGTCTTGCACTCATCAGGACTAGGACAGAAGAAAGACAATTGTAAAAAGAAACACACATATTTATACAGCAGAATAAGAGGGTGCTGATTGGTTGGGTTAACATTAGCAGGGAGATCCAGCAGAAACAGTCTACTGTCAATCTTGACTCTCAGACCAGGTAAGTAAGTCTGAGAACTGAGATCTATTCTGGCTGCATCTCCATGCCAATTACAGCTCCGCCAATCACCCTTTTCTCGTGCTATATAAATTGATATCCTGTTTTTCCAAGTCTGGTTGGAATAGTCTGCACCACAGTTCTGATGAATGTAAGTAGTAAATCTTTCACTTTTGTAACATTTGGAGTCAAGCAGATATGTCTTGAGCAAAATGGTGATTTCAGTATTTATTAAAGTCAATATCTACTTTTTTTTCACAAAAGTGGTAGTGTCATTTTTCAAAACTTCTATTTAGTGAGCAAGTATTCTTCAGTTTTTTTAATACCAAAATACATTTTTTAAAAATCTATGACTAAGACTACAAAACCTAATGTATGGTACGTAATAATAAATTGTTTCCAAGATTTTAGATGGTCATGAAAATTGACTTACCCTTTTGTTCCTTGATAAGAAAGCAGTTAATGATTTCCATACCCCGTCCTATGTTGCTAGTGCAGCAACCAGTTAAAGCATTGTACACATGGATTTTGTTGATTCATCTGCCTTTGTTTCAACATTTTCCCACAAAGAAAACATTTGATGCTTCTTGTCTCCACCTTCGCCAAAATGAATGGTCAGTATCAGGATTCTACTTGTTAATAGTCTTTTTGTTGAAGTTCCATGTTCCACAGGTATCATAAAGTGCATGTAGCAGGTAACTTGAGATGTAGAAGCTTTGCATAAAGCAGTTCTATGTTAAGATGTGCATTTTTGCTTTGAAAATGATTGCCCTTGCTTTATGGATAGTCACTATCATCTTGTTCACAGATGCATATGAAACAGCTAAACTCCTTTGTGACCAATATTACATGGACTCCCCTGCACTGGAAGTGGACCAATACAATGGTAAAGTTGCATGAATTAATTTATAACACTCAATGCTGAAGTTATTGATCAGATCACAGCATCTTGTAACCTGTCATTAGTGCTGTTTGTTCCTTTTTCCAAAGTAACTGTACCTTTCAAAAAAAGTATACAGACCTTCTGAAATTGCTGTTTGTTGGCAGTTATTAATGCCTCACTTATGCGGAGACCTGTATATCGTTCAACCTTGACATGGCAGTTTTATTTGTTTGTTTTTATTAATTTCTTTATCACTGTCTCATTTAATAATCTGTATAACTTTTTTTTTCCTGTTTTTCCCACCCCTCTTCTACCTTTTTTTGATGCATTAGCTGCAATGAGATTGTAGGAATTTGATGATGGATGAACAACCCCTACCCCATATATCTACCTTTGTCTTGCATCTCTTTAATAACATTGGTCAATTAAAATCCATCAAGTTTGGTTTTGAAGTTAACAATTCATGTGACAGGAGTTGTTATTTGCATTAGACTATTCCATAAGACCATTAGATAAAGGAGCAAAATTGGGCCATTTGGCCCATCAAGTCTGCGCTGCTATTTGATCATGACTGATATGTTTTTCAACTCCATTTCTCTGTCTTCTCCCTGTAACCCTTGATCCCTATACTAGTCAATAACCTATCTATCTCTATCTTAAATACACACAATGACCTGGCCTCCACAGCTGTCTGTGGCCATGAATTTCACAGATTCACAACCCTCTGGCTGAAGAAATTCCTCATCACAGTTCTAAAGGGTCATCTTTTCACTCCAAGGCTTTGCCCTCGGTTTCCAGTCTCTCCTCCTAGTGAAAACGTCTTCTCCATGTTTGCTCTATCCAGGCCTTTTATTATTCTGTAAGTTTCAGTGAGATCCCTCTCATCCTTCTAAACTCCATCGAGTACACACCTAAAAATCTTCAAACACTCCTCATATGACAAGCCCTTAATCTCTGGGATCATTCCTATAAACCCCATCTGGACCCTCTCTAATGCCAGCACATCCATCCTTATAGATGAATTCCAAAACTACTGGTAATATTCCAAATGTGTTCTACCAGAGCCTTATGCAGCCTCAGCAGTACATCTATGGTCTTGAATTCTAGCCCTCTTGAAATGAATGCTGGCACTGTATTTGCCTTCCTAACTACCAACTGAATCTGCATATTAATCTTAAGAAAAGATCTTGGAACTCCCAAATCCCTTTGTGCTTCAGATTTCCAAAGCCTGCCTTTGTTTAGAAATGCCTCCTCTTCCTACCAAAGTGCAAAACGTCATACTTTACCATATTGTATTCCATCTGCAACTTCTTTGTCTACTCTTCTAGCTTGTCCAAGCCCTTCTGTAACCTCCCTGCTTCCTCAACACTGCCTGTCCTTCCTCCCACCCACCTTCCTGCAAAAATGCTATCCCCTATTCCCAATTCCTTCGCCTCCGCCGCATCTGCTCCCAGGATGAGGCATTCCACTCCCGTACATCTCAGTTGTCCTCGTTTTTCAAGGACCGTAACTTCCCCTCCTCGGTGGTCGAGAACGCCCTCAACCGTGTCTCCCACATCTCCCGCACCTCATCCCTCACACCCCGTCCACGCAATAAGAACCAAAAAAGAATCCCCCTCGTCCTCACGTACCACCCCACCAACCTCCGGATCCAACGCATCATCCTCCGACACTTCCGCCATCTGCAATCCGACCCCACCACCAAAGACATCTTTCCCTCCCCACCTTTATCTGCCTTCCGGAGGGACAACTCTCTCCGTGACTCCCTTGTCCGCTCCACACTCCCCTCCAGCTCCACCACACCCGGCACTTTCCCCTGCAACCGCAGGAAGTGCTACACCTGCCCCCATACCTCCTCCCTCACCCCCATCCCAGGCCCCAAGAAGACTTTCCACATCAAGCAGATGTTCACC